TTTATATTGTATGGTTCGATACAGTTTTTCCTTATGTCAAAATTATTTTCCGTTCTATATCTTAGTGGTATCTTCTACATCATGCCCGTAACCCACTGTTTTTTTTTTGCTCATTTGCCTTATGTGAAAAACGAGAAATACCTCTAGAACATTTTCTGACGACTTCATTTGGGTTAGTTTGCATCATCCAATTTCTGCGACATGGTATCTTTCTTTGTCGTTGTTAATTATCTGATGATTAATTAAAGCTTTTCAAGGCCTCTAAAGCCTTCTTGTAAATTATCACACACAAGCACAAGTGTGCTTCAGTGATACATTTTTTCACGTTTATTCTAATTTGTTTATATATCTAGCTATTTGTAACTATTTTGTTTAATAAACGTTATATTATTATTATTATTATTATCTTATCAAACAAAATTTCTTCATCACAATCGGTCGGTAAAAAGGTTTCTTTTCCCCGACATGGCTACTGTTAATAATTACTTACATCTTCCTTCAAAAGAAATCGGAAGTGACTCTCTGTTATGACAAATAACATCTGATATTCATTTCCATTTTCCTTAATACAAATGTAAATACAATATAAAAGAAAATTACACGTCACTATGAGATCTCAATTTGAAATGGTGTTTTTCTTAAATTTCTGTATTATTTTTCTTCTGTAATGGAGGCCATTGAAAGAATTTTTCGATACTCTTTGGCCCAAAAATCAATCAGGCATTACCTTGAGGCAATTGACTTTTATTTTTAACTGCTATCAAAAATTATTACCAAATACTGTAAACCATGAAATAAACTTTCCTCATTACTAAACATGAAAATCTATCATTACGCCTCACAAAACAAACGACGATAGTCCGTGACTGAAAACAATATGTACTTTTTTTTCTCAATGCCAGGCTTAATAAACACAGGTGTTTGCGGTGTTACGTTCGCCTTGACAAATCTTTCCATTCAGCCCCAAAATCAAATATCTGGTGCGACGCCAGCACGAAATAAAATCTCCTCCTTATTATTTCGCTAATGCCAGTCCCATGAAAGGTATTGTAATGAACGCGATTGTAGTGGGACATGTTGTGAGCGACAATAGAATCCGACAGAAGAAACCGGGGATACCGGACCTTTTTCATTTGTAATGCTACCTTTATGTAATAATGTTCTATTATGTTCTAGGCGGTTGCTAATGTTACTAGAACACGAATTTTGATGTTATGGAACAAATGTTTCTTTCGTGTACTAGTCCTTAACTAACCCTTGTGTTATTAATCCTAATTATAAATAATATATTTAAGGGAACTGTTAAAAATCCAATTTAACTCTCTCTAATAATATCATGACTTATTCCGGGCCCACTTAAACTTATTTAACAACTTTTTTTGAACAAATTGACTTTATACAAATTCACTTATTACTTATTCAAACGTACACAACAAGTAGTTAAACTGACTACAACAACAGTCTTATTTGAAACTGAACACACACACACGCTCTGAATCAAGAATCACGCTATTTGCCTAACCTCCCGCTATTTATTAGCCCATATTGCACTCGGGATTTATCTAGAAAAACCTTGCGCGCTACTCGAATAGAATTCTACGAATCGAATTGTTTACGTCTATTGCATTTTCGTAACAATATTCTATTTTCAAATGAGCAAATCAATTGATATCCATGTTTCATGCGTACTGTGTCTCTGACCCAAAGAAAAATGTCACACTTGTAGAGAGAGACCTGAGCCAGCTACCGCCGCGTGTAAATTCGCAACTGCTAAAAACCGCTTTATTTCAACTTGAAAATCAACTTGAACTTTTCATTCTACCGCTAAACACTAGCTAACTGAATAACTCATACTCCAACCAATTGTAACAAAGTTCTTCTAGACATGTAGGTCTTGACAATTCAACGAAGGTTTTTCTTTTTTCCTTTGAAAAGCAATAATTGCAACTCGTATCCTACATTAGTCTGTGTAATAGTATATTTTACTTCACTTCACAAGTATTTTGAGAGCTAACTTCATATTTATCGCCTGTTATAGACACAAGTGAACTCTCTAAAGCTATTGATAATAGAGGATGAATGAATGACTTAGGGGTATTGTTACACTGCGACCTGCATAGATCTGTTGTCCCCCCTTCTGGGTGCTTCAGTTGATAGATTCTCACTCAAAGCACCTCATCCAGCTTTAAAGCTTCCATGACCGCAAATGTCGGTTCTGTTGGCAGAATGATGATTCTTCCCGTCCAACGGTGCAGCATCCGAAGCAGGCAATTCGTTTGTTCACGATCGCCACACACTCTGTGAGAAGGTGTTTAATTCTCTCAAGGTGCCCTCCTAACCGGCAGTAACCTGTAAGGAATCCAGTGAGAATGCGAAGATTGTTTTTACTGAGTGAAATGAGGTCTTCTGATCTCCCTTGGTGAGGGGGCCCAAGAAACATTTTTGATTGTCCTAACTTTGGAAGCTGTTCCCATTTGGTCCCCTCTTCCTTTCTGAATGCTTCCTTATAGGTGTGCGTCCGTATGCCACAGAGAGGATCTGGTCCTGAAAGTGGAGTTTGTGCTCCCAGTTTCGCCAATTGGTTCGTCTCTCTCATTACCTGCGAAGCCTGGATGTCCTAGGAGGGCAGTTTATTATTTTTGCCAAGTTTGTTTAACTTGTCCCAGGCATTCCCAAATATTTCTGCAGCTGGATTATTGGTGAGCTCACCGCTTTGATGGCTGCTCGGCTGTCTGATAATATGACAATCTCTCTCTTTTTGTAGTTTCTGTCAAGATTGAACTCGGCACTGCATGTTTTTTTCCATTGCTCCGGTGAACTTAATTCCAGGCCCAAGTACTCCGGCTCCGGTCACTTGTTTAGTTCTTGACCAATCAGTATACCATTCTACGGCTTTCTGCTGCATTATAATAATAGATGTGGTGTTTCTTTTCCATTCTTCTCTGCTTCTTATGTGTGAAGCGTTTCTCAAAATTATATTATGTTTTGATCATATCATCCCTGAGGAGCTCGAGGAGCGGAAGAAGCTTGCTTAGAGATCCTAAGGCTAAGCACATAGTGGAGCGGCGAGCAGAGCAGCGGGCAGCGCGGAGAGCAGAGCGTCAAGTGAGCAGAGAGTGGATGAAAGAATTGTATGCACATAGTGGCGAGTTAATACTCGAGTGAAACAAATAAAAATGAATAATTTGGTGTTAACCGAAACGTCGTCTTTAAAAATTTTGGTATTTAAAGAGAAGACAGAAAGAAAAAAAGAAGGTGTAGTGCACACCATATAAACAGAAGCAAACTTCGATTAGGCGAATATCACCATTTATATGAGGAATTACGACAACATCCAGAAAAATTTCACTCTTATCTTTTAATGAATATTAAAACTTTTGACTACATTTTGGAGAAAATAGAACAAAGATTGGTAAAAAAAGGACTAACTTTACCATAATCCCAATTGGTCCAGCAGCAATCAATTAATAATGTAATACATTTTTCACTTGATTGTTGACTTCATTTCTCTTGCTACATCATCCCACAACTTATCTAATATGTATTGGTTATGATGTTCAGTATATTTTTGGTTCCACAATAGATTTTTAACAAAAATACTACTTATTAATTGTTCAACGTCTATTTTTACAACACAAAGACAAACGAGCAAAGTAGAAAAATCAAACTTGCTTGAACGCGTCGCTTTGCTCGATATTAACAGCGCTGCTAAATCTCCGCAATGCTCTTCACTATGTGTCAAACAATTTAATCTCGTGTGTTAGTTTTCGCTGCTTTGCTCTCCTCACTGCTCACTACTTTGCTCGTCGCTCCACTATGTGCTTACCCTAATTCTCTCCTTCTAAGCCAAGCTCCTTCGCCAGTCCCCTCTCGTGATTCTGCACATTGTTTGTCTAGCAGCCCCCTCCACCACGCTGTGAAGAGGTGCGAGACCTACAATTGTCTCTATGGCTGCTGTAGGACAAGTTTCCATTGCGCTTGTAATGCATGTGCACGCCAGGCAAAAGCTGCTTTGAACCAGACTATCGATCCATATACTAGGTTTGGTCTTACCATCATGGTGTACATCCACCTCAAGATCCCTGGTTTGCATCCTCAGGTTTTGCCTGCAAAGTTCCAGCACACCATAAGAGCCTTTTTAACCCTCAGTGTGTCTCCATCTGAGTTTGCAGTCCAGCGGCATGCCGAGATATTTGACTTCCGTCACCGGTGAAATATTAGTCCCGTGTATTCGGATGTCCTTTATTCTAGTGAATTTTCTCCTCCTAGTGAATGGCAGGTGGTTTTTGTTGGGTTTATCTTCAGTCCCACTGTTCGGCACCATTCCTCCATTGCTCTGAGTCCATTTCGTAAGAGTTCACACAGGGTGTCCTCAAACTTTCCTCTTGCTATGATGCAAATGTCATCGGCATGCATACCCAACGCAGTACAAGTTTAGGTTGTTCAGTATTCCTAGTAGTTCATCCACCATTAAACTCCACATGAGAGGTGAGCATACTCTGTTCTAAGAAGGGCCCCGAGTGGTGCTCACCTCAATAGACTCAATGCCTATTGAATTCTCTGCTGTCCTCGTAAAACATCCATATAGAGATTGTGTCGTTGACTCCCCTTCTCGTAAGGTGCTCTCCAAATGGCTACATGAGATTTGTAGTAGAGGATTGCATGACAGTGTTTTAATTTTTCATTTTTGATTTTGTCTTGCCTCGAACGTATCTCGGATAGGACGGAAAAATTCAACTTGAAATAGTACCCATGAAATTCGAAAGGGTTCATAATTTCTGTGTGTTATGGGCTGAAGCTTTGTATTCCAAGATAAAAAAATTTCGCACGCGATCTGCTAACTTTACCAATTTGCTAGAAATTGCAAGTATTGTGTTTACTCCGCTTTCTTCTTCACAAAAATTACCTACTAGAAATTTACTGGTGATAGTCTATACAATACTTAGGCTACTTTAACTTTTAACATACATGTAATTTAAAAAATATGATTTTTTTTTCAGGTCAAGCTAGAACAAAATGTTGGAAGACCTTCCAGAGTCATCCACATTAGAAACATCCCGTCTGACGTCAGTGAAGCCGAAATCATTCACTTAGGCTTGCCCTTCGGAAGAGTGACCAATGTTCTGGTGCTCAAAGGCAAAAATCAAGCTTTCCTCGAAATGGGAGACGAAGCATCAGCTACTAGCATGGTACGTTTGATAAATAGACCGAGAAATTTGAAACTATAAAAAATTTTTTAGGTTTCATATTATGCTAGCTCTGTAGCCCAGCTTCGAGGAAGATCCGTATATGTCCAGTATTCAAATCATAAAGAGTTGAAGACTGACCAAACACACTCAAATGCGGTAAGTAATCAAGTTCAATTTTTTCGCACACTCAAACCGAACAAAACGCTTTACTTTGCATCAGAAACTATTTTTATCATTAGCTGTGACAGAAAAAAGAAGGCATAACATAACGGTGTCCTGATTATTTTTAGTTAGCGCTCGAAACAGAGATAGGCCGGACAATCCGGGAAAATGCTTTTAATGTCTACATTATGGCCGCAAAAAACATTTGAATGGAAAATACATTTTCGTTTTTAGCCAGTCTAATCGCTTGACGATATTTGTTTAAACGGAAGCACTACAAGAAAAAAAAGACGTTTTAGCACAGTTATTATGGTTGTTGTTTACATGTTATAAATTTATAGATGAGGACAAAAATAAATATGTATTTCCAAATTCGCAAGCGAAATTGGTTTGACTTGACAGAAATAAAACGTCAAAGAATTTCCATTTTTGTCCGATTGGGTAGAATGTCCCTAGCCGGTTGAATATTTTTTCCTCTGGTCCCTTTCCTGTGTTTTCTTTTATTTTCGTCATTACCGAAACGTTACCGAGGAGGATGTATGAGAGAATGAGATAATTTAACGAGAGAGGAGCAACGGTAGCAAGACCGAGAAATAATAGACGAGATTTCGTCGGAATATGTGACGTGAGGGGTCACAAGTGGGGCAAAAAGAACAAAAGACCTAATGAAATTTTAAAAATCTTTCCCGTTTTTGTAGGTAGTTTCGGTGTTTGCCAGGTTATATTGTCGAAGAAATAGAAAAGCCGTCTTTTCAGAGCGTACTGAAATTGCTCTTTTCTCATTTCAAACTGAAACCGTTAATTGAATATCAATAATAAATTAAAAGGTTAAAGTTGTCTAGAATTTCCCAAAACCACTATAGCAATTTATATTGGTAGCAAATTTTAAAATACTCACCTAGCTTTGAGCAGCGCATCGACGAAATTTATATCTTTTCTTGGAGATATTTATTGGATTAGGTAAATCGCTAGAAACAGGAATCATATAAATTCTTCAATGTACCTACATACATATTTGATATCAGAAAATTAAATAGTTCTACCATGTCTTGGAAAAACCTTATGAATTTCAACCTGCAGTCTAGATATTATTTCCCATTAAAATTTAATAACAGTATTACTGCCGAAGACCAATTCAAATACTCAAGTACTTAGGTCAAATACGGAAGCCATAAATGTTAATTGAGAAGTAAAGTACGTAATCCAATCTCCTGAACTTTGCTTTTGGCAATAGAGAGTCGTAGCTTCTTGCATTTAATTTAAGCCCTATAGGCTAGAAGTCAATTTTAGTTGCAGGTACAATCTTGGTTGTCATATTCTAAAACTTTTATCGATCGCGAGCGCTTCTTCAGAAGATATATTTTAAGCGGACGAAATTTAATTAGGATATTAATTATTAACCTTGGAAGTGTTTGCTTTTTGCTAAGCTTTGATCTTAGGTGGGAGTCGGGAAAAATATCTAATTTACAAGCCGGTCGAATTAGGAGTTAAACTTAAAAGAGGTTTCTTGCCAGGGTCTTGATAGACTTAAAGTAATTGGAGACGTCTCCTATAAGGGAAAATTGATTTTTTTTGGTAAGATATTTAGAACGACATCAACCTAGCTCACTGGCGTTTTTTTCCTGATAAATTTATCGCGTGCAGTCTTTTACACAAACAAGCACATGAAAGCGACATCAAAAACTTTCCACACACACAGACACGTGAAAATGATATGCTAAACTCTGCATGTGCCGGATTGTTTCACCCCTTCGTAATAAAGTTATTTCATTATAACAATTTTCGACATAGCTTTTAAATACGTGGTTGTGTGGGGGATAGGGGCTATTTCAGATGTTAGGACAGTGCGACGTTACGATCATAAGGGTAGATAACAAATTTTATATTAACAGAAGTATTTTAAATATTTAATGGGGGACAAAAACTAACTTCTATCTCTAGTTGGGAAAGCTCCTTTGAACTCAAGTCTGCCCAGTGCCTGTACCTCCAGTTGCGAAAACAACTCTGGGTATCTTCAGCCTTATCGTTGTACAGTGCTGGTGACCCTAGTTGGGAAAGCTTCTTTGGACAAGGCTTAAAGGTCACTAGCTACAGTTGTGTAGCGAATAAACCAACGGTCTCCCAAGCAGCGTTGACGTGTGCCCCCTATAAGTACCCTAGAGTTCAAGGGTCATGCAACCTATAGGGTTAGGATATGTAAGGGACATGATGGGCAAATATATGTCTATCTACTTTTTATACTACTTGAACGAGTTTTAAACCCCCATGTCACCCTTGTAAAACAGGCGGTTGGTGACAATACATTTAATTTCCGATCTCTAATCATCTGTCAATTCAGACATATTCTAATTGTCATTTCTTCGTCTACTCCACTTCTCCAGTTTCTTCTAGGTCTGCCGCGCACTGAGTGATTTGCTTGGTTATTCTCATATGTGTTATTTTTTGTACATGTCCGAGTCAAATCAGTCGTTTGTCTCTGATATCCTCGGAATAATTTCCTTATTGAAAATTCACAGTATATGTGTGTACAATCTACTGCACTGTACTCATATTATAAGTGTGTATACGATAGTATTGTGGTTCTTAGAGTGATATATGTGAATCTAAATAGCAAGTGGTGTCATCTCCTCGAAGTACTACAAAAAAAAAACTGAAAATGGGCGAATAAAATTCAGCAATTCACAAAGTGTACCTATGTTGTTGACAGCAATCTTATAGGAAATTTTTTTTATGGAACATTCACAGTACAAATGTTATGTACAATCCGCTACAGTGGATTGTACACTTACTACTCCTTGTTTTTCTTTTCTGTTGGCCCTTGCGATGTTGTTGTTGCTATTTTCCTCCCACCCTCTCGAGCTCATACTCTACACTTCAGCCTTGAAAACTTTTTGTGTCTCATTGTATAGACTCTACCTTTTCCCATTCATACTTGGAGACTTGATGGTTGGCGGCAGTGCGAGCGACCTATCGTCCCGTAATGCTGCGGTCACTCATCCAATCTCAATCCCGACGCGATGTTACTTGCATCTTCCATCACCAAGTACCAACGAGCCTTCTTTCAAAGATAATTATTTTGGTTTTCGGTGGTCAATACCAAAAATTGATCCCCTATATGCTCTCACAATTTTTAACGTTTATTTATGTATTTCTTATGCTGAAAGTGTCGATTTAGAACTTTAAGGTGATTTTGTTGACATATTGAAATCAGTCTTTCTTCTTTGTGTTCGGTAAACTCTCACCAAATTTTCCTACTACTCTGAAGTGTGCGAGCATTATTATTTATTTCCCTAGAATTTCCTACTTTCATGAGTTGTTAATAGAATGCATCGTCGTCTATTCCATATATTTTTAAAATTATTATTTTCCTTCGTTTTCTGCTTGCCTAGATATTATATGTTTTCTCCATTATCTATGTATAATAATTAATCAATACTCCTTTCTTTGCTCTTAATTCTTTTTGAACCATGCTGAAAAAAATTATCATAGCTTCTAAATTATCTAAGCCCTGCCTTTTTTTGTCCCTGTGGCGATAATCAGATCCGTTTTTGGAATTATCTTTCTAGTTATCCGTTGGACGTTTCATGTACCAACACTCATTGTCCGTTTCCTTTCCGTTGTCTAGTTCTTCTCCGATTTTCGGTCCTGTTCCAAGGCTGTTGATTGGGTATTTTAACAGTTTCAACAGTCATTCCGAGTATCGGGGAGTTAGCTTGTAATGCGTGGTCGAGCTTGTCTTCCTCTAGTTTCTGATGAGCCAAATTGCAGCTCAAGGTCAGCAGCGTCCTCTACCTTAGTTCTATGCTGCTTTGTTTACTTGTTTAAGTATGTTTCCAAGCTCCGTTCATATCATCAGCGGTTTAAACAGGTGCCATTAAAGTTTGCTCCTCTATTTATTCTTAAAATGTCTTCCAGGGCTAAATTAAAGAGCTTTTGGGATATAAGATCTCACAAAGCATAGCGTTCGTTGCGCCGTCTCGAATCGAACTTCCCAATATTATCCAGATCTTCTTCTTCCCAATTTGCATATTAGAATGAATAAAGCCACTGATTCAAAATGTGATTATCTAGGTAATATAGTTAAAAGGTAATACTTCACTTGCCGGATGTTTATTGTAGATTCCATTTGGAGTCGTTACAGCTTGTTCCAGCCGCTCAAGTACTGCTACCTTTCCAGATATTTTGTGCGTGACTCTACTTCTAGTTGGTTTCCAAGATTTGTAGGCTTCTCCCAAAGGAGGCCAACTCCTGAGTTGTAAAGTGCCTACCTCTTGAGGTGTTAGCCTTCAAGGTATTTCAGCCTTTTGCAGGAATGAGAAGGGCATTCACAGATTAAATGTTTCTGTTGCTTGTTCGCAAGATCTGCAGTGGTCAATGTCTGATTTGCCTTTTGTTTTTAGGTGATATTTCACCGGATAATGCCCATTGAGCAGAAGTTGTTCAGATCTCTTTGCTGAAATGGATATGAACCTAGCCTGTCTTAGACATGGAATGGTTCTCCTCTGAGCTAGCATTCGGTCATTTCTTCGGAGACTAGGCTTTTCATTAGTCCACAGAAAGGATCTGGGCCTATAAAAGGTGTTATAGTGCCTTGCCTTACGAGACGTTCCGCCTCCTCGTTGCCCTCCATGCCCTGATGTCCTGGCACCCACTAGTTTGTTCGTCCTAGCCAGTTGCTTAAGGATATTTTTACCCTCCCAAACTAATTGCAAATTTCACTTGATGGTTCTAGAGCCTCTAGAGCCGTGTGACTGTCGGACAGAATATAAATGTACTCTCTTGAAAGGTCTCTTTTAAGGTACTATTGGGCACAGATGTTTATGGCCAGTACCTCAGCTTGAAAAATTGTGGGTATTTTACCCATTTCTAAGGTCCAGTTATTCCCAGAGCAACTCCTTCTGTCAGCTTCGATCCATCTGTGTACCACAATTACTGTATTCCTTTTATATATCGAGTTACACCGAACGAGCTCCTCGAAGTTACTCCAAAACAGACAATTCAGATTTTATCATTATTTTTTAATATTAAAATTACCGCCATTACGTAAAAGGGCTTCTTGCACCCCCCGCAAATTTGGTGCATCAGGGGAAAGGGGGATGCACTATGCGCGACTCGAGTGCTTAACGCACTTTTAAAAGGAACCTTCAAGCTTTTGACATTGAGCAACTCCGAGTAACTCAACAGGTAAAAGGAATACAGTAAATGATGTGTTGCTCGCTTGCGGTAGCACACTGGAAACAAACTGTTGGAAAAGAGAAACCTGTAGGTGTTGTAGTATAACATACCCGGGTTCGATCAGTAAGATTGAACGATGAGAATTTTCATTACCTTTTAAACAACAAACCTTCTGAAAAATTAAATGAAAAACAAATAGGACCTACGTTGTGGATACTTACTCACATTTACTTACTGCGCCCGACATAGCAAATATTTGGGAAATTTAAGGGAAACTGCGAAAATGGTAAAAGAAACGCAAAATTTGTGAAACGCCTCCTTTATTTTCAAAGAAAAACGTACCGTTCTCGACCTGGAATTAACGAGGGGAAAGAGAACGGCAGAGAAAACCTCGATTCCCCAAAAATCGAAACATACTGTGTCATTTTAGGTAAATAATCATTGTGAGTCACTAATTCGATAATTTAAGGCAATAAAAGTTCAAATTATGTACCGCCCCTGTTCTTGTGCTAAAATTTTAATTACACACTCAACATTCAATCAACACTACCTATATTCCACACTGAAGAGTTTTTGGTTAGTTAGCCAGTTTCCCAGCAGGTACTGAGGTCCCATACGGGAAGCTACTCAGCAATAGTTGAGTTAGAGCCAATATCTCTAGATTGATTATTTCAATTTGTTAGGATATTCTCTCGTCAGGGTAGGAAAATGTTAGTAAATTCAACAAGGCTCTAATGCACGCTCTAAATCCAAAAATCAAAATCCTAGCACAAAAAGACAGCACATAATTTCTTAGGTTTTAATTTACTCTTTATCTGTGTTGTTTACAGTATGAAACGATTTTGGTTAAATACATAAACAATGCACATGTTATAAAAAAAATGGTTATAAACAAACAAAAAAAACATAAAAATTGAAAAAAAAATTATAATACAGTAGTGTCGCGATAATCCGGATCAATTAAAACCAGACCAATCCGGATTATCAAATTATTCGGATTACTAAGGCATTTTACAGTTCGCTTTTAAAACTATTTTGAAAAAATAACATGCCGTATTTAAGCAAAAAAACTTTATATTTAATCGAAAGCTCGTCTATAATCGCTAACTTTTCGTTGAGACTTAAAGTTTTGTGTTTATTAGGTTCCATTTTCTTTAAAAAAAAAACCCACACAGTCAGGAAGGACGCCGCGTATTAAATGATGCGTGTAGACATGTAAAAACTACCTATCCACTTGAAAGCAGTTACGAAACGACAAGTGAAAACCTGTGCTTTTATTTTCAAGAGTCATGTGAATGAATTCGGATTACCGAATCAAGTAAAATCCTGATTACAGAGTCATTTATCGAGACACTACTGTACTTGCGTAAATTGAACTCTCAAAAACCAAATAATAATTAATCCACTAACCTGTACGCTCCTTGCACACACACACTAATAACAAATTGAATTGAACAATTAATTTTAATGCAAAATAGGAATGAAAATTGAAAAATGAATAATTACAGACGCGCAACACGTTTTCTAAGGGGCCAGTCTAGCGCGTTCTCCATTCTAAAAAAATCGATTATTCTCTTCTACCCTTCGCTTCGGTACTTTTTGTTGCGGCGCGTCCCGATTCGAAAAACACGGCGCATACATGGTTGCAACATTTAATTTTATTCAGTAAACATTTTTTAAAAAAGTTAAAATTTGAAGAAATAATATTTTTAATAGCTGGTTCTTCTCAGTGTACAAATCTATCATAAATCAAAACAAATTTTGTGGTTAATGTGACTTTGTCAATTGTCTGCATTTTAGTAAAGAGAGCACAGATTCTTTTCGGCAAACATGCACAACGAAACAATAAACAGATGTCATATTTTTATCGGGTGTTCCTAATTGAGCTCCAACAATAACTGCTATTTTCTTGCTCAAAACTTAATAAATGTCTTCTGTGAATGTAAATAAAGTACGCATGGCACAAAGCATATAAATTTAAACTTAGAATAATTATTTTCTGGAAGCTTTGACTTTGTGTTTTCATAGTTTTCCCGGTTATTAAATTCAGAACAGTCACAAAAGTCGCAATAAAATAATTCCCAGAAACGACGATATAAGTTATTTTTAGGCGGTTTCCAGTTGCAACTTATTTATATTGAAATGAAATGATACTTTGTCTACAAAAGATTGCAACTATTGGAGAATAAGTTTTCAGATGTTGAATATGTTCAAAGCCCCATCAACAAAGTTCAAACCGAATTCGTCCGAGTTTTATTGAGTCCGAATTAAAAATTAGGTCTTTTTAAAAATCGATTATCGGTCATCCCAATCGTGGTGCTGCAGCAAAGGGGGGAAATTAACGATGCTATTTACCCGATCGTCGAAGCGACGCGATGGCATTCCGCTCTCTTTTTATCCCTAATGTGTGTTTTTCTGGCTGCGAGCCTTTTCAGCCATTTCACTTTTATTAAATTATTAATGCGTTCTCCGCTCAAAGTGTTTCGGCTCGGCTTTATTCGAACCGGCTGGCCGGCCATTGATGATTTTTCCCATGACACAAACGAAATGTGTCGAACTGATCCAAGGGATAGGTTTATCTTTTAGAATTTTTAAATAATCTTTGATGATATGCTGCTTTAGAGGGGTAACTATCTTGACTGGAGTTTCACAGATGTTTTTAAAGCTGGGCGAAAATAAAACCCTACAAGATATATTATCAACGCTGTATTCCTCAATAAGTTTCAATTATAATTCTTCTCCAATAGTATCTACCCATGTGGGTGTTTCTCCGTTTCGCTTTGAAGGACTTCGAAGACAAGGAACCACACACTACAATAGGCTTATTCCTTTGTTGGTGTTTTGTTCTTCTTTAAACCTGTTTATCTGATTTGGTATGCTTAAGCTTAGGTTGCACTAACAAGTTCGAAACCGTTTTGTAATTAACGCAGCATCTAATAAATAAGAATTTAGTTTCTCTTCCTCGGCTGGCCTGCCATTGATGATTTTTCCCATGACACAAACGAAATGTGTCGAACTGATCCAAAGGATAGATTTATCTTTTAGAATTTTTGATGTAACTTTCTTGATTGGAGTTTCACAGATAAGCTCAAAAATCATAGGTTTTTATGCAAACCAAACATGTGCTATATGCTGCGCGAAAAAAAAAACCCTACAAGATTTAACGCTGTATTCCTTAATAAGTTTCAAATATATTTCTTCTCCAATAGTATCTACTCATATGGGTGTTTCTTGGTTTTGCTTTGAAGGACTTTGAAGAGAAGGAGCCACACACTACAATAGGCTTATTCCTTTGTTGGTGTTTTGGTTTCCTTTAAACCTGTTTATCTGTTTTGGTATGCTTTCGCTTATGTTGCACTGATGAGAGCTAACAAACTCAAAACCGGTATGCAAGTAGCGAGCATCCAATGAATGAGAATTCGGTTTTTCTTCATTGTCTTACAGGGCACAACCACATGTTTTGTGTATTTTGGCAAAAATTCTAACTAAATTTCTTCTTGTTATAGGTAAGTGGTGCTACTACTTACGACGACGTTAAAATTATGGTGAGTAAAAAAGTTATGTTATATGATCGGTGGTGGGCAACTTTACATGTTTGTGCACTTTAAATTATATCAAATTGACTCGTTCCATTCTAACCCAAAAATTCGTTCTTATAAAGTCTCACTCAGATGAGTAGGGTGCCAGAGGTAATTTGAAACTGAATTATAAGAATTTCCTTTTTCAACAGAAGCATTTTTTTGCATTTCAAAACGAGCCAAAGCTTCTTCTTGGATACATTATTTAATATTAAGTCAGTGTATTCCCTTATATTACGTTTTGCAACGCGATTCCGCTCCATTTACGTAAAACCTAATTATTTTTTAAAAAGGGTATATCGCGTCTCATCGCGTGCGCTCAGGACCAGGGCTAGGAAATGCGGAATTTAATAACAAACGCTTCTGCCCCCTTCCCCGTATAATTATGCGCTCGTAAAAAATTTAAATAAATTTATATAAATATAAGGACTTGGCGGGAAGATTTTATTGGCGTCGCTCGTTCCTTGGGGTACGCGTTTTGGGGGTTGTTTAATTTATCAACGCGGGTTTATTAATTTTGAGACGACCGCAATTATTCATAAAATGATGATAAAGTTGTAAAAAAGAAACTTCATTATATTTTTCAATTTGAAAAGTTTGACCAAATAGTCTCCAAAGGATTTTCACCTTCTCCCATCCTAAACTTTCTGCTGGTTCAAACTTATAAAACAAAAATCATTTCTCCATCAAAAACGTCTTCGTTAATTTTCGTATATTATCTCTAATCTTTGAAAGTTTCCTATGTGAAAACATATTTAAAACTGTCGTAAAACTAGAAAATATTTAATACACTAGTGTCTAAAACAGGACACAATCATTGTTATGACCGAGTGAGTCGTAACTTTCCAGAACTGTTTAGACCATACAACACACACTCCGGCTATAGCTTTTATGTGTGACCAAAACGTAACACACGTTGTCTGCGAGGTATGGCGGCGGCTTTTACGACAAGACAAAACAGAAACGGATGTTTGTTCTATTTCAAAGGCCTATAAAGCTCTGAGTTCTAGGAAAATAGGACTTTTCTCCCCGCATCCACGTACATCAACCAACGAATAATGCAGAGAAAATCTATGTTAAAGTGCATATTGAATCAGCAGTAAAAAATAGGATATAAATTTGCTACTAAACGGTGAAATATTGACAAGATAAATGTGGAATCTTCGTTCATATACCGACGGATCGTGGGAAAATCAGACTATGGAAGATAAATGACTAGCTGTCGAGGCAACATGAATTGCCATTTTTTTTAATGGCGGATTTGTGTTAACTAATAGTCGTTTATTATTTAAAAAATGGGGAAATAATTTTATAAAAAATCAATATTACTATACAGGAGAGAAAATTTTATAGAAAAGAATATATAAAAGATTCCTTATATCTCTTGCCAAATGGTCCGTAAATCGAAACCTATAAACGAATCATTCTTCGATTTGCAACATTGAAAGGGAACGAATATGTTGGCTTTCGCATGAAAAATCCTCTAAAAATTACATTAAATTTTGAAATATTCTTTTAAATGCAACCTGTTGATTTAAATCAGGAATGATAAAGGCTTGTGAGTTTATTCCATTTCGAGCTAAAGGGTATGAAATATAATAGTCTAACAAACTCTTACATTATTGACATAATTACCGAGCCCAATAGAAAACATCCCTAAGCTTTTCAACTCAATTAAATTCAGTTATACACCCGCTTATCCGTGTTCCGGGACCTTCCGAAACCACCCCCGGGAAGTCGGACAAAAGTTTACGCCGATTATTGCAAAATTTAATTCGAAAGTTTCACTTCGCAATAAACTCTAATAATCTTAACAAGATTTAAAAGAAAAAAATTAGACGGGAACCACTTTGTTAAGATAATCTACGCGCTGGCTGCCCCGCAGCTACCAGATGGGAAGTATTTAATAAGGAACTTGCAATAAAGGGGTCTAATTCTTTTTAATGGCTTTATAGAATTCCATTTGGAATTTAGAACAGTTGATAATTAAGATTGAAGGGAGGTTTTTTAAAGAATATTTCACCCTTTCGGATTTGATCAAAATTTCCTTGTGGATTGCAAAGTTCAATTCTTAAGTTTCCACCCAAAAGCAAATGACAAACTCAAAAAATAGCAGGACTGGATGTAATCACCACCAAAATAAAACTTCAACGCACCATTAAGTATATTTGTCAATAGACAAGGCTTGGCCTAAGAACATTTTCTATGACAATGAAATAAGAATCAGCATGTCATTTTTGTTTTTATAACGATAGAAAATCATTAAACAAGTAAAGTCAAGAAGCCCTGGATGTACATTTGTATTAACATTAACAGCTACTTTTTTTTGCCCTCTCTGGAAAAACACACTTTGGACTGGAGATCGAGGCATCCTTGATGGAATTAGGAAATAATATTTCTATAGTTCATTGATAACAATAGTTGTCATTGAGGACGCTATTAACTGAAGTTAGGCCAATAGCACACAAAAAAACTGTAAGCTAATATATTCATTTATTTCAAATTTCGTGCCAATTGTTCGATGCTATGCAGTACAGTTGACAACATATCTGTTAATGGCGGCTGCCACGTATCCAACAGAGGACTGGTTTGGTTGGTTTGTACCAGAATATCAAAGCGATGAATGACTTGTACTTGTCAGTGTTCTCCGTCAAATGAAATGATGTTGCGGTTATAACTGCAAAAATTCAAACGTTTGCTTATTCCAGCTTCCTGGGAAGGCTTGAAGAAGTTCTTTGTTCTTCTTCATGACCTGCTCTCACTTCTGGAATGTCCTCTAAAGCCTCTCTAAGCGCCATTTTTTTTGGTGAGAGACCAAAAGCTGTCATTTCGGGAGATTATGCGAGCAAGCGTCACGATTTAGATGTAACGAAATCCCTCCTGGCACTCATTTGTCGAGGCCTTCACGGGTTTGTTTTGCCTTTTCTAGAGACCAAGTCCTTCCTGGGTTATGAGACCTTGTTTTTATATTTTTTTTAAAGATTTTGGATAGGATTCCACATTCATCTTTTGACAGGTGATACATACCGTCTCTTTGAACATTGTGTCCAATTTTTTTCAAAATCGGTTCGGATGTGCACTTTAGAGGCTGAAAATACTAAAGGAGAAGGACAACCCGGACTGGATACCGATGCAGTGGTTATGTCGGTCTTATTTTTGTCTAGTGTGAATATCGATCTGCTTGATCTTCTGACTATTGAAAGAGCATCTTCCACCCAACTAGTTTCTGATGTAAAATATGATGACAAGTTTTTAGAATGCTAAAGTAGTGTTTACTATCTATTAGAAAATAGTATGCCTTTTTCCTTCCTATTGGAAATTGCATGTTTTGTATTGCCCGATTTTTAAAGGCGCCAAAAGTATAAACATCCGACAAGGTGAGCCAAGCATCTCCTGAGATAACACCTGCCGTCCATTATCAGAAATTACATAAGCCGTTCAAAATAAATTCTCATAATTATCTGTTTAGAATTATGATGTGCCTCATTAGTTCACCGCATATTCATTTTGCTTTGAACAATACAAAATATAAAATTAATTTTGTCTAACGACAGTCAGGACGAAGAAAGATTCAGCATTTAAACGCAACGCGACAATTAAAAGCCCCGAAAACGAGTCGGAGCCAAAGGACTGACAGTAACAAAATGCCGAAAATAATAGCAGTGATAAAACTGAAAGTTTACTTTGAGTATCGGAACAAGGGAACTGGCATTCGGGTCCATTGTTTCCTTGTCGCGATGAAGTATACTTTCGATGACGGCAATTCGCAATACAATTCTCTCTCTCACCTTAAAACGTATTATTTATTAAATGAGAACGGGTGGCGGATCGACGGGTGCACCCGATTCTGTTTCTCGGTGTTTAATTGCCTGAAAATTGGAGAAAGGGGAGAACAGCCGTAAGTTATCGCCGTTTATTTTGGGGTTGGAGGCGCGTAAGTGGCGCCGAAGAACGGTAAGATCGTAAACACGAGTGTAAGCATTTTCTTATCGAATTTAGGCAACTTTCCCTTAAATTAAGTTCTAGGCACTAAATTCAACGGTGGATATTAGCGAAGTTAACGTCGAACATTTCTCGTATATAACAAAATTAAATTATTTGGTTATAACAGTTTGATTAAGTAAAATCTATTGGTTGGACATCGCTTTCCTTTAGCAAGGCAAAAAAAATCAACTACTTATCTTTTGATCAAAGCAAATCAAAAGCAATGTATATTTTTTCAAATTATAGATTTTGCAACATATCAAATTAACCCCAAATAACGACTTATTCAAAAACTGCTGGACGGTATATTCGCAACCACAAACTACGCGTATAACTTTGAGAAAGTCAAGAAATCCGTATCCGTATTAAGATCTGGTTAGATAATCCCTGGAATGCTCTCCAACGAATAAAATAGTTGAAGATATGACGAGCAGTGCGAAGTTTTCCCAGCTAAAATAACGGTATCCGTATTATCAAACACTTGATCGGGAGCAAATTGAAGTGGTTATATAAGGTGAAATCGGGGATAAATGTCAAGGAGAGGATGTTTGTTTTGTACCTGTCAAAGTCAAAATCATATCGAATTATAATTTTATTGTTGTCGCGTCATTCATCATTCACTTTTTTGTAGACTATTTTTAGTTTTCGCTGTTCGTTTATCATTATGAATGGGCTTACTCAGTCGTATTGTATACTTTGAAATAATTGGAAAATTCACTACCATTCATATCAAGAATATCAATTTTCATGAGAGCCCTTTCAAATTTGTATGAACAACATTTCAGACAAACTAATAATATTTGACTTCAACATTATCGAAATTGACAAAGTTTTGTGATTTGTATGTGGGTTTTATTGTTTCGGACATGAGATTATAAAAAAAATAAACCTGTGAAATCAGCGAAACTCTAAATTTTGCATTCCGGATAATATCCATTTTGATTAGTTGTTGATGGTATCGAATGTTAGAGCTCCACGTCAAC